ATTTCGCAGATTGCCTAATGCTCTTTCCCAGCCAAAGGGTGTGTTTCAGAGTTTTCAGGGAAATCAGGTGACTTATGGGAAAAGGAGGGAATTGATATTAGAAGAAAAAAAACCAAAACCATAAAGTTCAACCCTCTCCCTGTGAATCATGGATTAAGGAAGAGGAGTTGTCCCAAGTGCAGTTCATCCCAGCCTTCAAGGCAAATTTAATGGTTGGATAATGATTTATACCTAGGCCCCAGATGATGTGGACTGAAGTATTTTCCTCTTCCTAAAACCTCTTCCCAAACATCTCAATGCTAGCCACCAATCAAGATAAATCCCAGGGTTGGGGTTGTGGCTCAGTGTTAGAGTGCTTGCCTGGCACATTTGAGGCACTGGGTTCGCTCCTCAGCACCACATTAAAAATAAATAAATAAAATAAAGGTACTGTGTCCAACTATAATTAAAACATTAAAAAATAAAGAGAGAGAGAGAGACAAAACCCAACTCTCAACCATGACCCTTGGGGCCAGATGTGCTTTGAGAAGCAGGATGGATTTTACTAAGACAATGATATATGTGGACCCCAAATTAAGTAACATCTCCTTCTTTGCCTTGCTCCAGGTGTGACCAAAAACACGGTCCTTGGCCCTGATGCAATCCAATAACGAGGACCTTTGAATATAACCCTTACTGCCCTGTCACTGCAACTTATTTTTAAAATAGACATGTTTCTTTCTCCTTCCCCTGCTCATCCAAAATCTCTCCCTCTCCTTAATCTCAGGGGAAACAGGATTACCTCCCTTCCCCTTCCTGTCCTTGAGCACTCACCCACCAGAGGAAGAAGTAATCCAGACTTTGGGGATGGCACCAGAAGACCTCAGAGAGGACTATCTCCAAAATTAACAAGTGAATTACAACTCCCACAGAGAATACGTGGAGTGTAGTCTTTGAATTCCTGTTTAAAAGCCTTGTTGCTGCTGATGGGCAGAATCACAGCCTTTGGGACAGGAGTTCCCTGTTTCTCCTTTGCTAGCAAAGCAATAAACCTTCTTTCCTTTTTCTCAAAACTGTGTCCTAGTTATCGGATTGCCATTAGGGACAAGGACCAAGCTTTTGGCAACAAATTTGGTGCCCCAGGAGGAACCCGAGAACAACTCGCATTCCAGTTTCCTGGGGCAGGCCTGGCTCTCCAAGGCCATCCTGAGGATGTAAGGCCAACTTGCTAAGAGGCAGCTGCAGGAGGGTTAGGAGACAAATGGGTCTGCCTCAGGTTGAACCATAGGAGCTGTTCCTGTGAGAAAGGGAGGGACTGAGGGATCATCTCAGCAGCTGCCGAAGCTCCTTTTGCTTTAGGGAACTCCCACATCCTCTCCGTGAACAGTATAGGTTGCTCCATAGTGGTCCACTTAAGGAAACTGAACTCAGGAAAGTCGCAATAACCTTGGCCATTTGGTAAATCCCCAGTGTGCACACCAAGACTCTTGATTCCAACACTTCTGGTTTTTCTTTATGGGAACATCTAGTCCCTCTTTGTGGGGACATCTGTGGCACCACTGGTGTAGGAGTCGTGGTTAAGCGGGACTCAAGAACCTAGGGATATTTACCCCTTTCTGGTCTGTTCTAGGTTCTCATCTGTTTCCCTCTGGTTGTCTGTCTGTATTTTTGTTCTGTTTGTATCTGTTACTGTCTTGGTAGTGTCTTGGGAAAGATCTTGGCTGGTCAATTTAAAGGTTCCTGTCCTTCAGCCATGGTTCTGGGGCTCCTCTGGTTGTCTCTCTGTTTCTTTTTTGTATAATCATGCAATTGGAGTTGGTCTGTCAGAGGTAAAGTAAGTTGAAGAAAGGGCCACCTACAGGTATAAACCTGTCTAAAATAATGTTTTATAGTAATGATCTGGCTTTTGAATGACTTTCTGGATTATTATACAGTGTTACAGTTGAAGTTGGTAAAAGGACACTCGCAGAGTCCACACAAAGTCCAAGGACCATGCCACATACCAGAACATCACACGAGAGATTTATTGTTGGTAACATGAGGTATTTCAACAAGGCTGTCCCTCTGAGGAGAGCAGCAGCCTGTCTGTGCTCACAGAGTGGCTTTATAACCCACAAGAGGAATCTCATAAGCTGCTTAGGAGTTCAAGCTGGGGTGGGGTTGATAGCAGGCACATATTCTTACAGGAAGTTAAGCAGCTTTGCCTCAGAATCAAAACTTTGGAACCTGTAGATAAAATGGCTCCCGACCTAAAATGGCAAATCTGATGCCAATATTGATTTGATGCCGATAGTTGGTCTGTCAAAGGTAAAGTAAGTGAAAGAAATTTGTACATGCAGGTCTGTCTCTTTTAAAGGTTTCCCTCTGTCAGCCCTGGTTTCGGTGATCTACTCTTGTCTGTTTTTTTTTTTTTTTTTTTTTTTTCCCCTGTTACTGGCCCTTTAAGACATGGGGTCCATGCTACATTGATCTTGCCAGTAGACTCTTGAGCAGAGAGACCTTGGCAGAATGGGCCACAATAGATAGAAGCCTAAGACAAAAATGGTTTACTGTGATATATTATAGCCTTTGATTGGTTTTTTGGGGGGATTATTATGCAATTTTGAAGTTGAAGTTGGTCTGTCAGGGGTAAAGTATATATGAAAGAGATTCTGTATGTACAGGCATTTATGCAGTTGCATGATAAGGGGTCTGAACTGTCAGGAACTAAGTTGAACGTGCCAAAAGGAAGTACCTCTGGTGTGCAATATAGCAGGACACCCAAAGAAAAGATTAAAAAAGATTTCAACCTTTAAACCAGTGCAGGCACTCTAGCACTGTTTCTCAGCCTGGCCCCAGGCAGCCACAGATCATCTCACTGTGGTCAAGGACACTAGCCCTAAACTGGGGGTGGGTGGGGGGAGGAAATCCCAGAAGAGCTTCCTGGGCTTTAAAAAAAAAAATGCCAAAGAGAACCTGGCCTCTGCCCTTCCTTCCAGTCCATTTTGCCCATGGGGGTGAAGGCTGATGGCCACAAAGAATATAGCAGTAGGTCCCAGCACTGTCGGTTTATGACCTGGGGACAGGAACAGTAAAGCAGAAAAGGACAGGAGAGGCCAGGAACCACGGAACAAGAATAAGACATCAAAAGGAGTTTTGTTGGGAAGGGGGGATGCTCTGGGGCGAGTTTCACCCATCCATGAAAGGGTGAGGGCTGGGGAAGTCACATGTGCTGGAGGCGAAAACAGTATCTATATAGGTCACTAGAGGTAGGAGGGCCTAGACCAACTAAATTGTTACTACTGTTAGCGGGTTGGCCAAGTTTAAGTTTAGGGGCAAGCTTAAGGCCCAGGTCTCTTCAGCCAGGTGAAAAGTCCCTGCCTATGGCCACCATGGGATGGGGAGAGGAAAGGGGAAGGGAAAAAGAAAGGAAAGCTGCTGGCTGGACATCCCGACCTCTTTGATGTTATAGGGCGCTGTTCTAATCTGGCTACTTCCTGCTGGTAGGGGGGCATTGTCTAGGGAAGGTCAAGAGTTGGGGGCTTATTGGGAAGGTGGCTGTAGGGGTGGAGGAGCATCTGATTTACTGCCACCCATGAGACTTTGCTGATGCGGTTTCGGATAAATCTAAGACAAGGAGCAATCATTAGAAAGACACAGATCATGAGGATGGGGCCAACAATCGGACCCAACCAAGCAGCGAGGGCTGAGTTACACTATCCCAGGAGGAGTGAGGTAGACTGCTGCTGCCTTCGTTTCAGTTCTTCACTCAGCTATCATAGCACATCGATGTTTTCTTCTACTAGACTGGTCTCATTGATGTAATAGTAACATTCTTCCCTGAGGAACAGACAGGTACCACTTTGTCATCAGTGAGTAGGTCTAGGGCCTGCCTGTTTTGGAGAGATGTTATTTGTCTTTGGAGAGATGCCAGAAAGTTGGCAGAGGCTTCAACCACTTGCTGTAATTTTTCTTCAAGCTCTTTAGTTGTGATAAAACTATTGCCTGATGCCCCAGCCCCAATACCTGAGGCAGCCAGAGTTGAGGCAAGGGGAATGCCTATGATCACTGGAAGAAAGGCAGCCCGTTTAGATCTAGTGGGTGGAGGCAGGCTCAATGAGAGAAACTCAGCCTGTCCAGAGAATGTAAGTTGAGGAACTAGGATGACAGGGGTACAGAAAGGAGTGGCAGTAGAGGAGTTGATGACTTTCATCAATGTCTCATTATACCAAAAGAAAAATACTGGGGTGCTGGGACTTGGGAGGACACCATAATAGTCACATTGCATCTGGAGACAGTTTGGGAGGCATAGCAGATGGAAAGATTTTGCTGCTGCTGCAGGGGATTGTCAAAGAGGGGGATCCCCATCAGAGGCAGAGAGGCATCACCCCCTTGGAAGATGTTAAGAAGAAAGGTCAGAGGGACTGCCATTAAAGGGGGTGATCCAGAGCAGCACATAGAAAACAATCAGAAATATTATTGACACTAGAGTATTTTATTAGTTGTAACCTCTGACATTGTACAAGGGCCAGAAATGAAAATGGTCTCCCTTCTCTGCCTCGTGTGCCCCTAGTGGTGAATGAGTGCAGTTTCTTTCTGTAGGATTTTTGGTGGAGCACTCGGGTGTAGGTGTGGAAAATCTTAAGAGTTCCAAAGGGGGAAATGTCCCAGGACCATACGTACAGCTTTCTCTCTACTCCTGCTGTCCAGCGATTATCCCAGGGATCTCTGATGTTCAGATAGGTCCGACCTCCAGAATAGGTATCTAGGAATTGGGTTGGGTGGTCTCTCTGAGCTTGTGCATATTGCAGGAAGTGTGAGGGCATCCTCCATAAATATCTGGTGGGGACTTGCAGTACCGCTTGGTTTGGTCATAGAGGAGGCAGAGGAGGGGTGCTTGGCCAGGAAGACTGAGGCTGGTTAGTAGAATGGATACAGTTGTCTGGCAACCAGCATTTTGGCAATCACTAGTTCCTAATGTCTGGGTCTTACCATCCCAGGTCTCCTGTAGCTGGAAACGCCAGCAGTAGGGATTAGGCAGCGTCATTCAGGTCAGGGCACCTGTAGGAACAGACTCAAGAGGAAAAGAAGTGGGAGGCCCACAGATGATCTTGAGTTTAGTGGGTCCCACCAATTGTCATGACCAGGCCTTAGGGCCTGGGGCAAGCTTGAGGCAAGAAATGTGATACCAAGAAGGATGGCCTAATAGTTTGGCTGATGTAGGGATGGTGAGAATCACCATATGGGATACCATCCAGCGTGGTTGGAGTGATCAAGGATGGAGTTCCTTTAAGAGGACAGAGTCTCCTGGTTGAAGTAGACCATCAGAGGGTACTAGTTCTGCTGGGGCAGGGAGGTGGCAGCCCATGTGTTCCCAAAGCAGACTGCAGAGCAAGGTGAGATAAGGTAGATATGAGGCCAGGAGTGGGGGTTGGATGGGAAGATTATGATTAATCAGGAAGGAGTGGCCATGGAGCATTTCAAAGGGACTGAGCCCTATGGGGACTCTAGGGGCGGCTTGGATTCAAATAGCACAAGAAGAAACAGATTGGGCCAGAAGATTCGAAGCTCAATTGAGAGTTTTGTAAGGTGGTCTTTGAGGATCCCGTGGACCGGCTCAACCTTACTCTAGGACTATGGCCTGTAAGGAATGTGAAGTTTCCAGGAGATGTTGAGGCTTTCTGAGACCTGTTGATTATCTGAGAAGTGAAGGCAGGGCCATTGTCTGACTGGATGGACATTGGAAGGCCGAACTTGGGATGATCTGCTTAATGAGGACTAAGGCCACAATGTTTGTTGTCTCTTGAGAGGTTGGGAAAACCTCAATCCATCCTGAAAAGGTATCAACTAGGGTGAGTAGGTATCAGAACTTTTTGTGTCTGGGCATATGAGTAAAATCTACCTGCCAATCTTCACCAGGTTGGTGTCCTCGCGTCTGATGAGAGGGGACCTTGGGTTGTAGGCCCCCTCAAGGCATGACAGAGGAACATATCGAGCATGTGGAATGGACCTGTTGAATTAAGTCACCCATGCCAGATAGGTAAAAGAGAGGTTGGAGAATTGAAAGAGCGGTTGGGGACTCATGTGAAGTGACTTGTGGATATTGGAGAGATCTTGGGCTTGGAGTTGAGGAAGGGCAATGTTAAGCCCCAGGAAAATCCATCTCTTGTCTCTGATCTGGTGCCCTCGTGTCAGGGGGTCAATTTGGATATAGGCCAATTTGGTGGGTGTAGAGAGAAAGAGAATGGGAGCCATGGGCGGCTTGCTGGTTAAGCTTCTAGCCATCACATCAGCCTTGTTATGTCCCTCGGTTATGGGGTCGGAAGTAGTTTGATGACCCCAGCAGTGTATAATAGCAACTTGGAAAGGGGGAGGTAGAGTGCCTCAAGGAGTTTAGAGATGAGAGAGGGATTGACTACAGGGAAGCCTTTGGTAGTTAGGAATCCTCTCTCCTTCCAAATGGCTGAGTGAGAATGTGCAATAAGAAAGGCATATTTGGAGTCAGTATAGATGTTAACTGACTTGCCTTTTGAAAGCTGGGGAGCTCGGATGAGAGGTTGTAACTCCAGGGAGGCAGCTGGCCTCCAGGACAGCCGAAGCAGAAACCACGGCATAGGCTGCTCTGCAGCGATTGTCTGGCCCGACAGTTGAGCTTCCATCTACAAAAATTGTAAAGTCTGGGGCTGGGGCTGGGGCTGAGGCTCAGCGGTAGAGCACTTGCCTAGCATGCGTGAGCCGCTGGGTTCGATCCTCAGCACCACATAAAAATAAATAAATAAAATAAAGATATTGTATCCAACTACAACTAAAAAAATATTAAGAAAAAAAATGTCAAGTCTGTTGCCACCAAAGGGTGGTTGAAGAGGACTTCCTGAGGTATATGTAAGGCCTAAAGGACTTGAGGACAAGAGTGCATAGGTGGATGGGTAAAACCAGACATTGGGAGAGGAGAAGCCGAGGTAAGGGGTGGAGAGGCACAGAGGGAAATGGTGGGGTTTTCAATGAAAAGTAAATGAAACTCCTGAATTCGGGAGGGGCCCAGGAGGGAGAGAGATTTATGTCCAAGGAGGTCCTGAAGCCTATGGGTGAAAAAGAAGGTCAAAGGTTGAAGGAGGGTCCACTTTAGAAATTCTTTGGTAAGTTTGGCCACTGCAGCGAGGGCCCAGAATCAGGGAAGCCATCCCTGTACCGTAGAGTCAAGCTGTTTAGAGAGATATGCTACAGGACTGTAGGAGGGTCCAATGGGCTGGGCCAGAAGACCAGTGGTAATCCCTTGTTTTTCATCTGTAAAGAGGTGGAAGGGACGGTTGAGGTTGGGTAGGGATAGTGGAGGTGAGGAGATCAAAGCATCTCTGAGTTTGAAGAAAGATCTAGAGACCTGGGCTGGTGATGTCAATGGTCCAATAGGAGTGTATTTAGCTGCCAGGTAAAGGGGCTTGGCAAGAAGAGCAAAGCTGGGAAACCAATGTCAGAAGAATCCAGCGAGCCCCCAAAACGAGAGGATCTGATCTGCTGACTCAGTAGGCTGCAAGCTCCCGAGAGCTTGGATTCTGTCTACAAAGAGGCTTTTGGAGGTAGGAGTTAGAAGAATGCCCAGGTAGGTAACCAAGGGGACCTAGAGTCGAGCTGTGGCTGGGGAAACTCGGTATCCTCTGGAACCTAAAAAGTTGAGTAGGTGGGCAGTGTGTTCCTGAGAAGTCTTTCAAGATGGGCTGCACAAGAGGAGGTCATCTACATATTGTAGGAGGGTACTGACTCTGAGATCACAGGGAGCTAAATCTCAGGCCGCACTTTCCAAACAAATGGGGACTATCCCAGAAGCCTTGAGGGAGGATAGTCCAGGTTAATTGATATGATGTGAGGGTGTCAGGGTCCTCCCAGGTGAAAGCAAAGAGGAAGTAAGAATCTGGATGAAATGGGACTTTGAAGAAGGTGTCTTTGAGATCTAGAACTGTGAAATGAGAGTTTGAGGGTGGTATGTGAGAGAGGAGGGTAAAGGATTAGGGACCACTGGATGAAGGGGAATAACTGCTTCATTGACTAAACAGAGATCTTGTACCAAGCGGTATGCTTCTGATGGTTTGCGGTCAGGTAGGATCCGAGTGTTGCAGGGAGAGTCTTTGGGAATGAGAAGGCCTTGATCTAGTAGTCACTCAATGATGGGTTTGAGTCCCCTGCGGTGAGGGAGAGAAATGGGAAACTGAGGTCGAGAAGGGAACATAGAATCTGCACTGGTTGATGGTGTATTCCTATTACCAGTTTGAAGGCATCCCAGAGTTGGGGGTCTATGAGGCCTGATGGGAGGGGAAAAGTGGTGGGGGGGAGGGTGTGTCTATTGTGGATTGAATCGAGGGGAGGAGGAGTTGGGTAGTAGGGGCATGAGGTGAGAGCTGGAGGGTAGCCCCCAAGAGCTAGAGAACATCTTGTCCTAGGAGGGGAACTGAATAGGAAGAGGTAACTAAAGAGAAGTGGGTAAAAGGATGTCCCTCTAGGGAGCATGTCAGACCGGCTATTTTCTTTGGGAAGGAGGGTGTTCCATCTATCCCCATGACTGAGATCTGGGAGGGATATAAAGGCCTAGAGTGGGCAGGCAAGACAGAATAGGTAGACCCCGTGTCCACAAGGAAGGTAATGGACTTACCCACTACCTGGAGGATTACCCTGGGCTCAGAGAGGGTTATGGGGGTCCTCGAGTCTGGGCTTCTTCAGTCGTCAGCCAGTCCCAGAAGCTCAAGAGAAGGGACTACCTGTCCAGCCATATCCCCACATTGAGGTACCAGGGAGGGACCATCCAAGGGATGGTCACTCTTCTAATGTCCCAGCTGCTTGCAGCTGGGGCACGGCTGAGAGGGGGGCTGCAGCTTAGGGCAATGGCAGGCCCAGTGGCCTTCTTGTCCACATTTGAAGCAGGCCCCAGATGGGGCAGACTTCTGAGGACCCCTGGGAGCCCCAGCAGGGCCCCAGGCTGGCCACAGAGCTGCTACCAGGGCTTGTGTCTGGAGTTCCACCTTTTTCTGTAAGTGAGCCTGTTGGCTGAGTTCAGCTGTTTCCTCACAGGCACTGTAATCTTTAAAGGCCATTTTCACCAGATCTCAGATGGGGGTTTGGGGACCATCTTCAGCACGTGTTAGCTTTTTTCTTATATCAGGGGCTAACTGGATGATAAAATGAGTGGCCAGAATGGTTGCCCCAGAGGAAGATTTAGGGTCTAATCTAGTATAGAGAACAAGGGCCTCCGTTAAGCAGTTAAAGAACATTGCAGGATTCTCATCAGGCCCCTGAGTGACTTCTCTCAGTTTATCAAAATTAAAACCTTATTAGAAACTGCCTGTGTGCCTGCCAGCAGACATTGTATCATCTGGGCACAGCGGCATCAGCCCTGTCCATTTTGATAGTCCCAATCAGGATTGGTGTCGGGGACTGCGGCTGCACCTGTAGGCATGGTGTCATGGGTCAAATGAACCTTGTCTGCATGGTTCTGTGTAGCTACCTGGACTTGAGGGTGTTCATCTGGGGTACGGGTGGAGGTAAGGATGACATGGACCTCATGCCAAGTAAGGTCATAGACTTGGGAAAGGTATTTAAATTCTTTGATATAGGTAGTGGGGTCAGCAGAAAAGAAGCCTAAGCACTTTTCGATTTGGGAGAGGTCTTATAGAGAAAAAGGGACATGAACTCAAACGATGCCCTCAGATCCTGCCACCTCATTGAGAGGATAGAGAAGTTCAGGGTCTTGGGTTATTTGGTGAAACCTGGTATGGGCACTTATGGGGAAGAGACAGGGGAAGGAGGGTGGTTTAACTCAGGTGGAGCTGGATCCAGATAAGGAGGAGGATCAGGATAGGAGGGTCTGGGGGGTGGTGAGAAGAGTGTCTCAGGAGGCTCAATAAGTGGAGAGGGGTCTGGGTCAGGAGCAGATGTGGACTTGGAAGGAGGAGTTTCTTTAGCAAGAAGGACTTGGAAAGTGGGACAGGTGGAGCAGAAAGAGGGTCGGGAGCATAAATCCCAAAGGGCCTGAACATAAGGAATCTCTAAGCACTTTTCTGTCTGTCGGCAGAAATTGTCTAAATCAGTCAGGATTTTAAAATCAAAAGTCCCCTCAGGAGGCCATTTACAGCCATTATCTAAAGTGTATTGTGGCCAGGCCACAGTGGAATAGAAAAGGATCCATTGACAGTATAAGTCCTGAGTGAGTCCCAATTTGGAAAAATTCATGTATAGACACCCCAAGGGAGTTTTGGGGTCCAGAGTAGACTCTGTTTCCCATGATCTTTCCACACCTGGGGGTGAGCAGGAAGGAAAAAGGCATCCCAATTACCTACTGTGCTTACCAGAGAATGGAGTGGACTGGCCAGGGATTGAGAGGTCTCTACAATCCACTCGGGGCCCGGACAGACGGGTTGAAAGGGAGTCTCTGACACGTACATAATTTAGGGACAGAATCCCCACAAATGGGAAGGAGTCAAAAGATCAAAGAGAAAATGACTTACCCCACTCTGCTGGATCGGATGAGGGCAAGTGATCTAGGGATCCAGTCGTTCCTTTGGCTGGTTCCTTCAGTGGAGAGGAGCAGCCTCAGACCCTAAGGGTGGGGGGAGAGAGGGCTGGGGAGAGGCTCGAACTCCTCCCAGGTTTCAGTACCAAATGTAAAGCATAAAAGGGCGTGTGAAGGGGCTGGGGTTGTGGCTCAGTGGTACAGTGCTTGACTAGCATGCATGAGGCACTGGGTTCGATCCTCAGAACCACATATATGTAAAATAAAGATATTGTGTCCACCTAAAACTAAGAAAGAAAAAATATATTTTTTTTAAAAAAAAAGGCGCAAGGCCAGGAACCACAGAACAAGAATGAGGCACCAAAAGGAGTTTTATTGGAAAGAGCGGGGGACACTCCCAGGTGAGGTTCAACTGTCCACAAAAGGGTGAGGGCCAGGGAAGTCACGTGTGCTCAAGGTGAGAACAAAACCTATATAGGTCACTAGAGGTAGGAGGGCCTAGGCCAATTAAATTGTTACTACTGTTAGTGGCCAGCGGAGTTTAGGGGAAATTTTAAGAGCCTGGTCTCTTCAGCCAGGTAAAAAGTCCCCTCCTATGGATGCTATGGGATGGGGAGGGGGAAGGGGAAGGGAAAGGGCAGGGAAAGCTGCCAGCCCAACAGGAACAGTCTCCCCTTTTAAGATCTGACAGGATGCCCCATTTGGCCAGGGGATATCCATCACTGGGGCAAAGCAAATCTTGCTGTCATAGTATCCCATCAAACTAAATGCCTGGGGAGACTAGTAGAATAAATACCTGCACCCAGAAATAAAAGAAAAAAGAAACTAAGGCCTACCTGTGTTTTGTAGGCAGGCTCTGCAAAGAGATCTTCAAAGAAGCCTAAAGAAAGAGAAGGAAAGGGCCTCCTCCATTGCATATCAACAGGCCTAGTATAAGAAAAAGGCCCAAAAGGAGACTGTGGGCACAATTGACAGTTGGGGAACTCACTTAAATTTGATGGCATTTGTGATAATGATAACAGAGACAGGTCAGACTCAAAAATACCCTGTGCTCCAACCCCTTGAATGCAACCTGGGAGGAAAAAAGTAAGGCACAGTTTTAATCTATGTTGGATTGTCCAACCCTCTCCTGGGCTGAAATTTGTTGTGTAAATTAAATGTACATATAACTTTAATGAGGACTGTTTCAGAATATGAACTTAAGAATGGGTCCAAAACTAGAAAAGATAAAAGAAAGTCCTCATTATTGAATTGGCATTGGGGATAAGGACCAAGATTTTGGGCAACAGTTTGAGGCCAGCCTTAGCAACTTAGGAGACACTGTCAAAATAAAATATAAGGAATATAAAGAATGAAGCTCAGTGGTAGTGAGATAGGAATTTGGGATAAAAGAGAGAGAGAGAGAGAAATTGAGTCTCAAAGGAAACACCTGTAGGCCAGTGAGATGAAAAGAGCACCCAGGATCAATTGCAACTCCAAAGCAACGTGCCCTTGGGCTGGACACTTGATTCTTGGCTCTGTAACTCAAGCACAGGAAAAACTGGTGTCAAACTGTGTAGCTCCACCCTGTTCCACCTCTAGTTCTAGCAAATGGCCTTTAGTCTCTCCCTCTCAAGATAGCCCACATTCTTCCTTGAATGTGTATTCCTTGCTTTACCCTAATGTTATCTCTCTTGAGATTGCCCCGTTATCCCTTGAATATGCTTCTACTTTCCTAAATAAATCTGTCTATGCCTTTCCTGGCATGTGCTTTTTTTTTTTTTTTTTAATGTACCAGGAGTGCTTTACCACTGAGCCACATCCCCAGTCCTTTTTTGTTGTTGTTTAGAAGTTTTTTTTTTTAATAATTTTAGTTGTAAATGGACACAATATATTTATTTATTTATTTTTATGTGGTGCTGAGGATCCAACCCAGTGCCTCTCACATGCGAGGCAAGTGCTCTACCACTGAGCTACAATCCCAGCCCTTTTAAAATTGTTTTAACTTTTAGTTTTATTTATTTATTTGTTTGTTTGTTTGTTTATTTATTTATATTTTGTGTGGTGCTGAGGACTAAACCCAGTGCCTCAAACATGCTAGGCAAACATTCCACCACTGAGCCTCAACCCCATCCCCCAGTTCTTTTTATTTTTTATTTTGATACAAGGCCTCACTAAGTTGCTGAAATCCTTCCACCTCAGCCTCCACATCGCTAGGATCATGGGAGCAGGTCACCACACCCAGCTTGAAATTCTTTTCCATCATGCATGCCAAGAACCCCGCTGGTCCTGATTTAAGTTCCCCCTTTTTGGGGAACTTGAATCATTCTTTGGAGACATCTCTTCTCTTATGACAGTAGAGTATATAAGTGGGCCCAATTTCCTCAGTACTGCAAAAAAGAGAGGGGTGGGAGAGAGGGAGAAAAAAGAAAGAAAAGAAAACAGTTTTAGAGCCTTTAGAATTTAGAATAAACAAGTAAAATAAAGGTATTGTGTCCAGCTACAACTAAAAAATAAAAAATAAATATTTTTTTAAAAAAATTTAGAATTCCACTTGAGGGAATATGGGACTGTACAAGTCCTCCACAAAGCTTCCCCTTACCTTGGTTCTCCTTTTTTCCTTGTCACTTTCTATTTTTGTTGTTGTTGTTGTTGTTTATTTGTTTTGTTTTGTTTTATGCTAACCAGGGTCTTGCACATGTAAGGCAAGTGATCTATCACTGAGCTGCAACCGCACTCCTCTGCACCTATCTTAGTGCCTGCATTCTAAAGAACCTAAGATTTCATCGATCAAAGGTGCTTCGTTATTTTATATACCACAAGGTATAAAAAGGCTGTCAATGAAACTATGACATGTCATTGATTACAAGATGCATCCTGATTTCAGGAGTGGTAAAGTGTAGGGAATGGATAAACCATGGTACACAGGCCTTACACCCAGTTAGCTCAGCACTAGGCCAGCAGTTAGAAGACAAAGTCAAGTCCTAGTTCTGCTACTCCACAAAGGTAAACCTCAGGCTCATCACCTAACTTTCTAGCTTCCTCAAATATAAAACAGGAATAACTTGAGTGTAACAAAAATAACCAAAACAATTTTGACACCATTATGAAAACACAAATAACTGGGATGGAAGCACACCTCAAATGGATCAGCAAGTTTTCCATTATCCACAGCAGAGTCAATCAATCTAGCACTGGAGGGGCTCACTTTCTGTGTAGAAAAATGACCCCCGATTACAGGAGAAGTCTGAGATTATAGGTTACATACTGGGAGATGACTTAACCATTGAAGTCTTTAACAGAACATATCAGTTTGGGCATTCTGGAGACAGATTGTGAAAATTTGAAATTTGTTTTTTACTGGGCAAGGATGGAAGGTCCAGAGTTCCGCATTCAGCGCTTATCTCTTTCCCTCCAGGCTCTAGTGTACTGGCATTGGGGAAGGATTTATTTAGGGAAGGATCAACGTTTGGCTCCTTCCCAAAGGCTGTCATTTTTAGACTTTATGGATATTTTCTTCCCAGGGATTGACTTGTCACTGGGTGATGTTTGCTTCTTTCCCAGGGATTGTCCTGTCACTGGGAAAGGATATATTGGGAAAAGATCAATGTTATCAATTGTTGCCTTCTTCCTTCCCTCTTCTAGGCCACACTGTTTTGGGGTTGGTCATTTCTGTATCCTTCACTGAGGATGTGGCTCAGTGGTAGAGCACATGCCTAACATACACAAAGCCCTAGGTTCAATCCTAGGTTCTGTGACCTTGAAAAATTACTTTGCTTTTGAGCACCAGCTTCATCTTGTGTAAAATGAAATATCACTTACTTCAGATGCAGCTATCATTGTCAGGGCCTGTTGTGACCAAGATTAAGTGAAATAATGCACGCTAAGCCTTCAGGATATACCTGATACTTAGTAAGCACTTTAAAAATAAATAAAGCTTGTGTGTAGTGGTACAGGCTTCTAATCTCAATTGCTTAGAAAGCTGAGAAATAAGGATCACAAGTCAAAGGTGAGCCTCAACAATTTAGTGAAACCCTGTCTCAAATTTTAAAAAATAAAATAAACTTTCTCTCTAATGTGTTTTAGGAACTCTTTAGAGCCAATAGGAAAAAGACAGAAATCCCAGTAGAAAATAGGCAAAATACCTCAGCAGAGTCTTCTTCTCTTTATTTATTTTTTTTTAAAGAGAGAGGAGAGAGAGAGAGAAAATTTTTTAATATTTATTTTTAGTTTTTGGCGGACACAACATCTTTGTTTGTATGTGGTGCTGAGGATCTAACCCGGGCCACACGCATGCCAGGCGAGCGCGCTACCGCTTGAGCTACATTCCCCAGCCCCTCTTCTTCTCTTTATAAAAAAGAAAATTTGAAGGCTATTAAATTTTCAATATTATTACTCATCAGTGAAATATAAATTTAAATTACATCAAGAAATACTATATACCTAGAATTATGGTTATAGACTGTTAATACTAAAGGTTGACAAAAATATTGATCAACTGGAAACTCAAACACTAATGGCAAGAGAGTGAATTAATATATTCATTTGGATAAAACAATCTATTTAATCTCAGAAAGAATTAAGAAATTTTGGGGCTGGGGATGTGGCTCAAGCGGTAGCGCGCTCGCCTGGCATGCGTGCGGCCCGGGTTCGATCCTCAGCACCACATACAAACAAAGATGTTGTGTCCGCCGAGAAATAAAAAATAAATATTAAAAAATTCTCTCTCTCTCCCACTCTTTCTTTAAAAAAAAAAAAAAGAAAAGAAATTTCTTCTACATTGGTTCATTTATAGGAAATTCAAAACTATCCTGTGATGACAGAAATACAGTAATGTCTATATTTGTAAAAGGGAAAATGCACTTAAGTGTTAAAATTGCATGGGCAGGAGCAGTAATTCAGGGTGTTGACAATGTCCTCTCACTTGAATTTGGTGATGAGTACATACATAGGTTTAATTTTAAAACATTCATTGTGCTGTCCATGTGATTCTCCATATGTATGTTATTCTTCAATCTAATGACTTATTTACAAAGTAAATTTCTTAAAAATCGGGACATAAAACAAATAAATTAATTAAATTAAAAGCACTGGGGCTGGAGATGTTGCTGAATGATAGAATGTTTGCCTAACATGCTATGAAACCCTAGGTTCAATCCCAGGACTGAAAAATAAATTTAAAAATAAAATAAGGGCTGGGGTTGTGGCTCAGCGGTAGAGTGCTCGCATAGCATGTGTGAGACCCTGGGTTCGATCCGCAGCACCACATGAAAATAAATAAATAAAGATATTGTGTCCAACTAAAAAATAAATATTAAAAAAAAAAGAATGTAAAAAAAATAAAAATAAAATGAAATAAAAAGGGCTGGGAATATATATCTCAGTGGTAAAGAACCACTGGGTTCAATACCTAATTTAAACAACAGCAACAACAACAAAAAAAAAAACACAGGGGCTGGGTTTGTAGCTCAGTGGTAGAGTACTTGCCTACCATGGGTGAGGCACTGAGTTCAGTTATCAGCAACAAATAAAAAAATAAATCAAAGTATTTTGTCCATCTACAACTAAAAATATTAAAAAAAAAAAAAAAAAGCAACTCAGGATATGCACCATTATAACCACTATATATTTGTTACTGAAAGCTCTGTCCTTGTCACCCATGTCAATTCATACCAATTTAATAATGAGGACATTATTTTTTTTAATTTTTATTTTTTAGTTATAGGTGGGCACAACATCTTTATTTTATTATTTTATTTTTATGTGATATTGAGGATCAAACCCAGTGCCTCATGTATGCTAGGAGAGCATTCTACCACTAAGCCATGGCCCCAGCCCCCAAAATAAGGACATTATTGAGAAAAAAGAAAAAGAAGGTTTATTTCTTTGCTATTATAAGGTTCTTGCTTAGCATCTGGATGGCCATCTTAAGAGACAGCCACCATTTTAAGGAAAAAGTTTCACTTTCCCTCCCAAGGGCCTTTCTGAGAAACGTTCACCACTTCCTCATACCAATCCAACTCCTAACCACCCACTTTAGGACCCACCCTGCTGATTCCTCTGCCTGCCCCATAAAAGTCCCAGAACTCAAGCCTGTTTTGTCTCTCTCCGCTATAGAGAGATGGCCTTTATTTGTCAGCTTTGACAAATAAACTCTCAGTGTATCTCTGCCTGGTCTCTGTCTTTCATTTCTCACTTATCTGTCTCTTCATCCTCACTTTCCCTTTCAGCTATCAAAGGAGAAACATGGGGTGCTCCAGTCACAGAGGCTGTGGTTCTCCCCATGAAGAGGAAAAGGGGGAGTTTTAAAGAAACACTGCAAGGGTTGCATTCCAGGTGTGCCCTGGTGGTGTGCAAGGATTCACTTGATAATTCCTAGATCTTCTGATGACATTTTCTTCCTGTGGAGGTCAGATAATTCAAAGGAATCTTGTTCCTTATCCCCAGGTTAAGGAGTGGGAGAGGGAGAAGAGAAAAAGAAAAACATGTGTAAGATCAGGCAGTGATGACCAAAAGGAGGCAGATTTAAAAAGGCTGCTTTATTGAGATTTCAATCCTAGGCAAGACCCTCAGACCAACAGGGTGGGTCTGAGGAGAAGCTGGCAGGGCTGGACCTGACTGGGATTTTTATTGTGCTTAGGGCAGGAAGAGAGGGGTTGGGACAGGAAAAGGGGGTTTTTAGAATCCCTTCTACTGGGGTTGGTCGGGGAGCTGGCTAAGATCCAGGATTGGTCTGGAGACCCCGCTGAGTGACAGGTGGTTCCCTCAGCACCTGATTGGTTGTTCTTTGGAGCAGGGGCAGGTTGCTTTATTCTTTGTTCCTCAGCCACCTCCAAAACCTAGCTAACTAACTAATAACTAATATGTAACTTTTTTTTAATGATGTAACTTTTAAAATAAGCATCAAGGGCTATATTCAAAAGGTGAAGTGGACCACTGTTACATATTGAAGAAAAAAGAATATTTTATCAAATTGTGCATGGTTTCCTTTCCTTCCAAATTCAATGCTAATATTGGGGGAAAAAAAAGTTAGACCCTCTCCTACTCTTCACCTGTGTAATTTTTATTTCTTCAATTATGCCGTTGAAATAAAATTCATATGTTTTTTCTAATTCTCAAAGAAGGAAAAAACTACTCCTGTAATGGTATCTCTGGGCTCTGCTTCCTTCCCTAGCTCAGCAAGAGACCCTGCCAAAACCTCCTCAAAGCACCAGGGGGCATGTTGCATATTCTGTACTGTGTGATGCTGTGTCATGGTTATTCATTAAAATGTTGGTGCTTATTGCCACCCTTGTTGCTATCCTGTTAGCTGCTAGGCAGGAACTTTCAGGGGCAATCACCTGTGTTGAGTGGTGGAGCCTCCTGCTCCTCTATTTATGTATTTATTTAT